CATTACAAATTTATAGCCTGACCACATTGTGTCTTAAACACTGAAGGCAAACCATATTGTGGGGATTTCATCTTAACCACATAGAAATTGTAACAAGCCCCAAATCACCAAACCAAGTAAGTAGTAGATCCGGGAATAGACTTGAGAAGGCTCTGATTCCTCCTATATTCTGAGACCACAAGGTTCTGCTTCTTCAGAACATAATGACACATCATTGAATGCTGCCAGACCACCAGAATATGACATATCAGGAGCAAGCCATGTGAGAGCACTTGCCAATGACCTATAATTTTTGCTTTCTGAAGGCTTGCTTAGCAACTAGAGAAGTGGGAAGGAGCTATTCATTGCATGCATCAGATGATTATTGACTGGTATTTGTATTTGGGGTACTTAGTTGCCACCACAGAGTTTATTTCTCAGTTAACATTATTTTTTTAAATGATAATTTGTAACTATAGAGTTGCTTTTGTAAATTATAATAACAGTTTTGTAATTTGTAATGAATGGCATCATGTTTATGAGTTGAAAATTATTTTGTTTCTTTCAAGAATTGACCTTAGTTCTCCATTTTACTTTAAACTCTTTCTCCTCTTTGCCTTTAGTTGACTTCCAGAGCACTGAAATGATAGTTTTAAAGGTTTTCTCCTTGTTGTTTGGAGAATGAATTTGCTAACCTCCTCTCTCTTTCAGGCTAGAGAATAGCTTTATCTGTCATTACTATTTCCTGTGGATAAGAATTGCTTGTGTTTATCTATATTTTAAAATTTTCATTATGTTATAGATTCTTTTTCCTGGAATTATTTTCTGTAATTCTGTACACACTTTCAGAATTCTTTTAGTAAAAGTTTTTGGGGTTTTATTTATCTAAAGTTGTCTTTGTTTAAACCTYACTCTTAAAGAACATCTTTGCTAGATATATTATCTGGGGTGACAGTTATTTTCTCTTAGGCTTTTGAGGGTATTATTTAGCTGTTTATGGCTTCTTTTGTTGCAACTCTCTAATCTCATGATTAGAGAATACTTATGTGTCCTTGTATTGAACTCCGTATATTTATCAGTTCATTTAATCTTTGTAACAACCTTAGGATAATATATTATTATTAGAATTGTGGGAAAATACACAGGCACAGAAAAATTAAAAGATCTGTGAGTGTGATGAGGCCAAAATTTCAAACTAGGAGTTCTTATTCTAAAGCCTGTGCTCTTAAACCACTGCCATGGCCAAGCAAATATTCAAAAATAAGAACAAAGGATGACTAATGGTACTAAATATTAAAGTTGAGAGAGAACTATAATAAAACAGGGAGGTATATTTTTCTGGGTAGATAGATTATATAATTGCTATTATATTGTCATTACTGTTATACTTGTTCCCTCATCTATGAGATCAGGATATTAATAGGACTTACTTCATAGAGTGGTTGTGAAGAGCAAGTGAGGAAATATGGGTGTGTGTTCACGTGCACATGTATGTTTTACATTTTATTACACCTTATAAAATGCCAAAAACATACATTGGAGAAAAGATAGTCTCTTCTACAAATGGTGCTAGGAAAACTGGAAATCCATATGCCACAAAATGAAATTTAACTCCTATCTTTCACCATGCACAAAACTCAAAATGGATCAATGGCCTAGCAATTAAACCAGAGAACTTGTATCTAATAGAAAAAAAAGTAGGCCAAAATCTCCATCATGTCAGATTAGGCCCCTACTTCCTTAATAAGACTTCTATAGCACAAGAATTAAAATCAAGAATTAATAAATGGGATGGATTCAAACTAAAAAGCTTCTTTTCAGCAAAAGAAACAATCACTGAGGTGAATAGAGAGCCTACTAATTGGGAACAAATTCTTACAACACGCACGTCAGATAGAGCACTAATCTCTAAGGTGTATAAAGAACTAAAAAAGCTAAACACCATAAAAACAAATAACCTAGTCAATAATTGGGCTAAGGAAATGAACAGACACTTCTCAGAAGGTGATGTACAATCAATCAACAAATATATGAAAAAATGTTCAATATCTCTATCAATTAGAGAAATGCAAATCAAAACTACTCTAAGATTTCATCTCACTCCAGTCAGAATGGCAGCTATCAAGAATACAAACACTGTATGTGTTGGCAAGGATGTGGGGAAAAAGGCTCACTCATACATTGCTGGTGGGACTGCAAATTGTTGCAGCCAATATGGAAAGCAGTATGGAGATTCCTTGGAAAATTGGGAATTGGACCCATTTGACCCAGCTATCCCTCTCCTCAGTCTATACCCAAAGGACTTAAAACCAGCATACTACAGGGACACAGCCACATCAATGTTTATAGCAACACAATCCACAATAGCTAAACTGTGGAATCAACCTAGATGCCCTTCAGTAGATGAATGGATAAAGAAAACGTGGTATATATACACAATGAAATATTACTCAGCAATAAAAGAGAATAAAATCATGGCATTTGCAGGTAAATGGATGGAGTTGGAGAATCTAATGCTAAGTGTAGTTAGCCAATCCCAAAAAACCAAATGCCGAATGTTTTCTCTGATATAAGGAGGCTAATTCATAGTGGAGTTGAGAGGGGGAGCATGGGAGGATTAGACGAACTCTAGATAGGGCAAAGGGGTGGGAGGGGAAGGGAGGGTGCAGGGGGGTAAGAAAGATGGTAGAATGAGATGGACATCATTACCCTAAATATATGTATGAAGAAGACACGAATGGTGTGAGTATACTTTTTATACAACCAGAGATATAAATAATTATACTCTATATGTGCAATATGAATTGTAATATATTCTGCTGTCATATATAACAAATTAGAATAAAAAAAGAAAGTTTGGATTAATGATTAAATATATATGAAAAAGGCTGTTATAAATATGATATTGGAGGCAGAAACTAAATAAAAAGATTGAGATATCTGACTACATAAAAATTTAAAATTTGGGGGGGTAAAAACAAGTGGAACACCATCTAAATCATTAATCCACAGTATGCTAGATTAGTACAAACATTTGTGGCATGAATAATACAAGGTACTATGCTTAATATATAAGGACCTTTTATTTAAATAATAAATAGAAAAATGAACATTGAACATATAGTCTTTCAAAAAAATTACAAATGATCAATAGATAGAAAAAGATGCTAAACTTCACTAGTAATTGAAAACAACAACCACCCTCCTGCCAACCCTCTGCCACAGCAGACACTGACAAGCAGCAATCATGGCTCTGTGCTGCTCCATGCCATGGGCCTCAACTAGGGCCATAAGGTGACAGAGAGCCTGAACAGGCCAAGGCACAGCTGGTGGTTTGGGTACCTTATCAGGTATACCACTTCTTGTGAGGCCTGTGATCTGAGAGGTGTATGGCATGCCAGGGAACTACTAAAAATCTCCAAGGACAAATGGGCCTCCAGTTCATTAAGAAAAAGGTGGGGACACAACATCTTCACCAAGAAGAATCAAGAGGAGCTGGACAATGTTGTGGCCACTATGGCCACCATGATGAAAGTAGATGCCAAGAAGACTGAGTCCCTTCTGCCCTTTATGCATAATGACACAGAAAAGAAGGAGAGAGAGAAGACACTAAATATTCAATACAAGTTTCGCCTGTGACTTAAAAAGATAGTCTATCAAGAATAAATACATAATAATAGTATATAAATAGACATAATGGAAGAAAAATAAGGTAACTACAAAGATTTTTGTTGGATCAGAAAATAGAGAGACTATCAGCATTGTTTCCTACTGTCCTTGAATTATAGGCATAAAGTCAACAAGAAGCTAGCAATGAGGACAGAGTTTAGCACCCTGTCTTCTGACAGGTTTGACATGTGGAAAAGAAAGACAAATAACCATAGTTGGTCCTATCATAGTTAAAGGAGTTGGTTGTAAAAATCAGGGCATCCTAGTTGGGCCCAGTGCTATATACCTATAACCCGGTTACTCAGGAGGCTGATGTAGGAAAATCTCATGTTCAAGGCCAGCCTCGATAGCTTAGACCCTGTCTCAAAATAAATAGAAAAGGGTGAAGTTGAAGCTTAGTAGTAGAATACCTTGGACTAAATCTCCAGTACACAAAAATCAATTAATTAGTTAATCAATTAAAGAAAATCAGGGAGTCCTAAGGACAATGAGGGAAGGGATATACCAGTAGAGAAGGAAGAAATTGAAGTTTTGGAGTGGAGCAGGAAGGGGGCCAAGAGAGTTCAGGGAGATAGGGTACACTTTTGAGATAACTGTCTTTGTGTATAGAAATAAAGCTAGACTGAATTAGGAAGAGTGCAAGGACCAGAATGAAGATCTGACCCCTTTTTACTGTACACTACATTAGAGACAATTAGATTTAAATTTTTTCAAACAATTTTTTCTTTCTTTCTCCCAACTTTCATCTCAGTTATTTTGTTTCTGGTCTTCTTCAGCTTGTAAAACCCACTCTAGTTTTGAAATCGTAACTATCAATTAAAAGTTGATTTATTATGTGGTTTGTGACCCCAGCTAGAAGTGTTGTCTATCCCTTGAAGACTCATAATTTCTTGTTTATACACTTTTACATTATTTTTAATTTGGAAGATTTTTGTTTCTACTAAATTTGGATTCCTTGAGGATAAGGACCATATTTTGGACCAAATTATGGTCATTTTGTATTATTTCAATTCACAGTGCCAACACAATGACTTCCTGTGGTAAACATGCAGTAAATATTTGCTAAATACATACTGTCTGACACATTTATACTCAGCCTCTAAAGATATTTTGCCTTTTCTGTGAGCTAATTTTAAGGATTTATTTATTTTTATTTATTTAGTTAGTTGTAGTTGGGCACAATACCTTTATTTTATTTATTTATTTTTACGTGGTGCTGAGGATCGAACCCAGGGCCTCGCATGTGCTAGGCTGAGTGCTCTATGACTGAGCCACAACCTCAGCCCCTTAAGGATTTATTTTTAAATGTTATTTCACTAACCTCTTCTAAAATGAATGTTTTTATTTTATAGATATGGTATGAATTGCCTTATTCAGTTTGAAGATTTTGCCAATGTGAATGCATTTCGTCTCCTGAACAAATATCGAAATCAGTATTGCACATTTAATGATGATATTCAAGGTAATAAAATTTTCAGCTTGTATGGACCAAAAATAATGTCTGAAAGTAGTTCATAATTTTATGATTCAAATTGAATAAATACATACTAAGTACCTACTAAAAGCTGGGAGTTACACTTAATAATTTCATGTATAATTTCTCATTTAATTTCATATATTTGAGAAAAGTATTCTGTAATTCTAGAAAGTATTAGATCCATGAGCTAGAGAATAAACTCTCAGAAATCTTGTAAAATCCCTGTTGATTATCATTGAACAAAGGAAATGTATGAAATATATTATTCATTATTTAAGAATGAAATGTATATAGTTCTCTCTTCAGCTTGCTTTTCTGTCAGTCACAGCTTCTAAGCTTCACCCCAGTAAGTGTTCTCTTCGTGTACAATGTGCCACATTTTATTTTTTATCTTTATAGATAGTTGGTTGCCTGCCATTAACCATGCCACCTTTGTTTTTCTACTTAAGACTTTAAACTCTCTCTAGCTCACACCTGTCCTCCACTCTGCCCCCCATCCAGTGCTGCTTTATCATAAGAATTGTGTGCATACTGTTCCTTTATAGGCAGGGAGAGGGAAAAATATAGACAAGAGTTCCTAAGGAAAACATAATTAGTTGTTGCAACTTGAAATAAGATCGCAAATTGCTTCCATTTTACTAATTCTAGTAAATGTTTTCCAGTATTGTTATCTTTCTTGAATTCTCAGTAGCATTCAATATTCTTGATTTATCTTCTTTTTCTTGGCTTCCATATCATAGTATTCTTATGACTTTTCCTGTTTTATTGGCTATTTGCCTTTTTTTTCTTTTTGCAGGTTCATCCTTTATGTCTGTTTATTAAATGAAAGAATACTTAAATGCTCAGTCTCAAGACCCCCTTTTAAAATTTTTGTTATATCTTCTTGGGTATATATTTTAAGTTCACATATGTGATAAGCAGATTTATTTCTCAGCTCCTACTTCTTTGAATTTCGGGCTGTATGCCCATCTCTTTGTTTAACATCTTCTCTTGGATATACCAAAGGTATTTCATATTCAGCATACCCAAACTCAAAATCTTATTTCCTCATCAAACCTAACATTATTCCAGTATTCTCAGTGAATTTCTGAGAGTTCTCTGTTCTTCAGCCTTTCCCACTAAATATAGCTTATTACTAAGTCTTGATTTCCTGTCATAAAAATGTCTCTTCCGTAGATTTTTCTTCATCATCCTGGTATAAGTTACTATTATTTTTCCTAAGCAACTGGTATTTTCTAGGAAGTCTATTCACTTTCTCTCTTACTTCCCCATCTTATGTTTTCTGCATAGGGTCTCTACCTTTTGCCAGATATAGATCTAAGTGCTGAAGATTTAGTGGGGAACAAAGGCAAAGTTCTCTCCTTGATATAGAAATCAGGCCATATTATTCCTTCCTTAAAATAATGTTTTTCCCTTGTACTTAGGATAAAAATTAAAATCCTGAATTTGGCTCAAAATTCATAGAGCCCTGTCTTTCTCTCTATAATGTCATTATTTTTGCCATTTTAGTTATAATATCCTTTCTCAGATCTTGAGGTGACCCGGCTTTTACTAATTATTTATTTATTTATTTATAGTTTGTATCCAAATGTTGATCTCTCTTCCTAGAATACTCTCCCTACCCCCCATGTCTCATGTCAATCATGATGTGTCTCATGGAGATCTTCTGAATCCCTGTCTAGGTCTAATCCACCTTATAGATTCTGATGCATACACTTTTTATTTTCCTTGTATGTAGCTTTATATATTTATGTAAGTTTAAAAAAAAAAACTATGCTTCCCTCCCCACAAACTTTTAAGCTGGGCAAGGGTAAGGACATGGCCATTTTACTCATCTCTGTGTCCTTTATGATTAACATAGTGCTTAGCCCAGAATGAATAAATGTGGTGTATCTAAAGCAGGATTTGGAAAAAGCCCACTGCCTGTTTTTATAGTTTTATAGTAGCATAGCTATATGCCACTTTGTTTCTGTGGTGTGTAAGGCTCTTTTCTTGCTGCAACAGCAGAATTAAGTCTGGGATAGATGTTGCATTGCACAAATCCTGAAATATTTACAGTTTGACTCTCTACAAGAAAAGTTTGCCAATCTTTGGTCTAAATGATTGAATTTGAGGGAACTAGAAAGAATTGATCTATGACACTAGACTAACTAGGGTAGGTTTGCATTTTGGAAAGATTACTCACATTGTCTAATAGTATAGAGAATAAGATTGATGGGAGCCAATTTGAAGATTGCTGCCTTAATCCAGTTTTTTTGTTGTAAGAAAATGCCAATAAAGTTAGAAGTAGACAGGCGATTGATTGTGACTGTGATTCTTTCTGCCTTGAAGAACTCTAAGAATGGCAGGACAGTAACAGGAAAAATGAGCGACATTATTACAGGTAGGGATTAAGAACACAAACCTAAGAGTCAGACTGATTTGCTTAGCTCCTTACTAGGCATGGACTTTTATTGATTTATGTAACCCTTCTATTAATTTTCTCACCTATGGCAGAAATTATAAAACAACTTCCTTTTTTTAAGAATTGAAATTTTGAGACTAAAAAAAAGAGACTGAAAGAACTACTATAGGAGAGAACTAAAGAGCCAATTGACTATGAAACATAAAAGGATTCAATAAATGGTCATTTAGGATCTGGTTGAAATTGAATATAACAAAATGTATCATATCAGTAGGCTGAGTGGCTTGAGTTCAGCAGTTTAGGAATGGACGAGACCAACATGGAAAGTTGAGTTTATCTACATTAGATATAGAAAGGACAACAGGATAAGAGCAAAAAGTTAAGTGATGACTGTGACACCAAACTGGAAAAGGAAGGAGGTGAAGATACAAGGACTCTTAGATCCGGTGGAGGCCTAGACATTCCATGAAGTCAGAGATCAGGTATTATTGTTACAGGGCAGAGGCCTGCCAGGAAGTGCAGTCTGTTGTGGAAAACACCCTTCTAATCCTGATTCTTTAAATCATGCTAGAAAGATTTCAGACATGTGGCTCAGAGTAGCAGGCATGAGTCTATCAGAGAGGATAGGGAAAGTGAAAAGAGAGAGCGTTATCTCAGAGATGAGAGGGATGGTGTATGTCCCCTGCCCTTCATTTTTATTGGGGGCTCCCAGGGTAATTTCCAGGGAATTCTGCCCACCTCCATCTCTGGACTTTTCACTGACAGCAGGATGACATCAGATTTTCAATACGTTTCTGGGAGTCACAACTCTAGGTCACTTCGGCCCATGCTGACCCGTTCTAATGGGAACCTGTTCTTACAGATTTTATGGCTAGGTGGAATTATTCTTATCTCCCTGAGTTCTGGGATCTGTATAAGGGTCACAAAAAGTCTCCCCCTTCAGGGTAACTTGTATTTTTTTGGTGGGCATTTTGGGACTGCATTTCTCCTTGCAGATAACAGTTCATTTGCTGGAGAATGTAATATATTCTGTCAATTTAAGCCAGACAGGGCTACAGGTAAATTGCTTTAAAAAAAAAAAAAAAGCATGTAGGGGTCAGCACAGTGGGCCCAGTTTATAGAATTATTTCCTTAACCCCATGTTCCTACCACTCACATCTGCCAATTCCCTATCACAGTGACAGTAACTGAATAAAAGAACTGAAAAGTAGGAGATTATAGACCATGAGTGAGGTATTCTAATRTGATACTTTCAAGAAGAATTAGTTCTGAGTGACGGCAAGCACCAAAATGAAGTTTAGGAGGAAAATAGCCAAAGTGCACTAAAGATGATTGTCATTGGAAATGGCAAAGAACAGTTAAAATGCAAAATGGGAATGACAGTCTTCTCTCATGCAATTTATTGAGGACAAAATAATTATTTGTGAAAATACTCTATTGACTGAAACATACTTTATAAATATAATTTTTAAAATTTACCATATTTGGGGCTGGGTTTGTGTCTCAATGGTAGAGCTCTAGAGTGGCACATGTGAGGCACTGGGTTCAATCCTCTGCACCACATAAAAAATAAATAAATAAAATTATTGTGTCCATTTACAACTAAAAAAAATTACCATATTTAAGTTATTTAATAGGACATAGCTATTTAAATTTAAAATGTTTAAAAATCATTTGTTTCATTTTACTTTCTAAAGTACACTAAAGTAATTGGGCAAATATTTCCTCAAATTCTTTGTGATATTAATTATATTTTGTACATTAGTGCCCATTTTCAAGCTAAAGATACTTAAGCTATTTAAATGTTACTTTATTAATTTTTAAATTTTCTTTTTTGAATACTCATTCATGAGAAGTGAATATTGGAAAGATTCAAAAAGGGAATAAGCTGTAAAATTTTATTTAATTTTTTTTTGAGAGAGAGAATTTTTTTTTTTTTTAATATTTCCTTTTTAGTTTTCGGCGGACACAACATCTTTGTTTGTATGTGGTGCTGAGGATCGAACCCGGGCTGCACACATGCCAGGCGAGTGCAGCTGTAAAATTTTAGATATTAAGAATCCTTATGTGAACTATAGAAATATAGCTTAATTGAGAATACTGTGCATAATGGTAGAGTGCTTTTGATGCTGTTTTGCAACTGAGTTTTGCAGACCAGTGTCTTCAAGTCTCTATCAATTCATTTTTAGATGATCTGTAGAAGAGTTACTAAGTAGATTATTTAACAGACCTATCCCTTTCTTTAGTATGTTTTTTTTTCATTTTGTGGGTCTCATAGAAATGTTCATATTAGAAGTTAAAGACCAATTAGTGAGAATTAGAGTTTACTTAAATAAAAAGAATGTTAAATCCAAATCATTTTAAAAAAGAAAAAAAGGGGCAACTATGAATTGAGATGAGAATTTCCACCAGCCAAGGCCAGGAATTTTGAGGTCAGTGCTTGGGGTCCATCAGAATTCCAGTCTAGAGCACAGGAAATTTGAGGCAGGAGCCACCTCAGGGTCAAGAGAAGGGCATAGAGGAATCAAGAGGATTCACAGCAGAATATTTCTCCTGTAAGTCACCACTATGGAGGCATTGCTTCACCCCAGCTTATCTGGCTTAAAAATATAATCTGCACTCAAATGATTGCTTATTTCCTCATAGAAATTTCAGAGTCTTACTATCTCAGAAAAGAAGAAGATGGATTTCAAAAAAAAAAAAATGTCTAATCTATGGAAAACCATTGGCAAGTTATTGGGCTTCTGACTAGAAACGACCAAACCATTTTATGCATTTCTCCACACCAAAATTGTGTCTTTATGACACATTTTCTCCATATGTTTCTTTTTTGCCTTTTTAACCTTATGCTTTTACCATTATGCCCACTGATGTAATATTTTCCCCACTGTGGGCACAGAAACTGCATTTCATTGCCAAGGAAAATAATTATGTAACCATTACAGCCATACCATGTAAATAAATGTTTTCACACTGATCCTTGGATTTTTTCCTTATTTTTTAAAAGATATGTACTTTAAATATTCTAGATATGTACTTTAAAAATTCTAACTTTTATGAAAATGATTTGATTAAAGAAAATGTACATAAAATCTTTATTAGTGATCTAAAATAATCATAAATTATATAGGTTTTGGTTAAAAATCATATTAGGCCTGTTGGCCATTTCCTTGGGGAATTTGATTGTCACTCTCTTAGATCTTTTCTCTTACACTGCTCAAATTCCACAGAAAGGATTTTTCCAGTTTTTCTCATTTATTAACTTTCTGTCAATGTTAGCATTCTTTTAGTGTTCATTGAGCTAAGGAGGAGAAGATTGGGTTGAGTACATAAATTTCTTTTCTTCTTTTTGTTTTTTTCAGTATTGGGTATTGAATCCAAGGTCTTGTACACACTAGGCAAGCACTCAGTCACTGAGTGACGTCCCCAGTCACATAAACTTGTCATAATCTTACTTAGGATGGCACTCTTGCCTCCAATTATGCCTGCTGTCTTACAATCCAGACTCTTTAAAATATGAACCTCTAGTATTTTTCCCAGACTTTCAGAGTAGAGCAGGGTCAACCATTTGCCAGAAGCAGAGGGAAGCAGATCTGGATTCTAACTTCTCAGCAGATCCCACCCCCCCCCACCCCCCACCCTCGTGGATTGAACCTAGGGTTTTACTACTGAGCCACATCCCCAGTTGTCTCACTTTTTTCTTTTGAGACAGGGTCTTATTAAATTGTGGAGGCTGACCTTGAACTTCTGATCCTCCTGCCTCAGCCTCCTCAGTTGCTGGATTACAGGCATGTACCACACTGTGCCTGGCTTCTCAGCAGATTTTTGACCAGTGCCCTGATGCCACCTAGCTGAGCCTTTTGAGAATTTTGCCATATCAGTCTATTCATTTCTTAACCATTACTACTGCTTGCCAACCACCCAGCTTTCTCAAGTTGGCCAAGTCATTTGCAATTTACCTATTTAAAAGCCTTCTAACATCTAAAATTTTATTGCAGTGCTTTTCTGTTCTCCGGTTTTTAAAAATCTTTTTTCAGTTTTTTTTTTTTTTAGCAGATTTTGTTGGGGAGAAGGAATACTAAATTTTATATTCATTCTCCTATTTTTAGCAGGTCATCATCCCTGCCTCTATGTCTTGCACGTGCTCTTCCTACTTAGTATGTCCTCCTTTCTGAGGTCCTTGATCCTGGTGAATCCCTCAGTTCTGTGCTCAGGTAGTATGTGTTCTAGATGCCTTGAACCTAGTCTAGGTGAACTCGTCCTCCTACTGCTCGTTCTTATCATCTGACCTATTTATTTACTAGTACTTGAAGATTATAGTTCTCTAATTACATATTGGTCTCACTGATTTTTTAATATCATTTTTAAAAAATCAATGCATTATAATTGTACATTAATAGTAGGTTTTGGTCTCATTAATTTTATATAGTAATTCTGTTTAACAAATTATTAGGAGAGGTCATTCTTAAGATAAGACTGATATTTACAACCATAGCACAAACACAGGACAACTGGCAACTTCTGTTAATATTAAAGACACATTATACACAAATACAAATGTAGGTTGAATATCCCTTGTTCAAAATGTTTTGGAATAGAAGTTTCTAGATTTTGTAATATGTTTTTGCATATACATAATGAAATATCTTTAGTATAGGATCAAGTTTAAACATACAATTTGTTTCATATACACCATATCCACATAGCTTGAAGGTAATTTGATTAAATATTTTTAAAGTTTTTTTCACTACAACTCATCACATAAGGTCAGGTATAGAACTTTCCATTTGTGATGTCATATCACTGCTCAAAAAATTTTCAGGTTTTAGAACACTCTGGATTTTAAATTTTTGGACAAGGTTGTCCATCCTGTAAAAGTTTCTAAAATTTTAAGAAAGATTCAATCTCTTTATTATCATGTTGACAGTGTTATATATTAAGCCCTATGACTGTCTGATTTACTAAAATTTTACTTTTTAACTTGAAAACAAAAGCTGTTGTGTAATAATGTATAATAAAAAGTTTTATGAAATTTAAGTTTTCCACATTTGTTCTCTTCTTTAAAGTGAAATTTAAATCAAGATAGTAGTAGGCCATCCATGTACAAGAATCATGAACAAGTTAAATTTTTAAATTTTTAGTGGTAGGAGAAGTATCTTTCTGATTTTGTTGATTCTGTGGAAAGAAGATTAGGGCTTTTATTATACCTCAGGAAATATTATGGAATATATATTTAAATATAAGGTTCCCATATCCAGTATGGATAGAGTATACTATTTTGCCATATTTGGGGTAATATGTCTGAACTTAAAGCATTTTGCATTTTAATACAGAGCCATGTGGCATAACCATATGAAGACAAGTCACCACATTACAGTTAGACTGTTTTGGAATATTTTATGTTTGTCTGACTGTAAATACTCAGTTATACTTAAAATCAGAATAATAATGCAAATACAGTGAATGCTGATAAAACTTGAACTTTTACTCTTTAACTGGTTAAATTTTGTGATGTTGGTAGAATCTGTGGAAACCCTTGAGATAATACAATCTTAGAGTTGGAAAGGAGTTTAGAGTTCCTGACATCTGAACTTCTGGCCAGTTTACTTCAAAAGAACTCAAGATAGAGAGATCTTGCAATTCTGTTTGTAGATAATTACTTCACTAACTGAATGTCTGAACCTCTCTAATATCAATTCTCTTTCACTGTTTAACAAATCTAATGAATCCTGATATATGGGACATCATTGACATCACTCTGATTCTGTCAGTGTATATTCCCTATATGGATCAGCCAAATTTTTTGCACAGTATTCCATTTTAAGTAATGCATAGAAGAGTGAATTTTGTATAATCTATGACTTGTCACAATTTATAATATTGAAGTGGTGACTCAAAATTTTAAGCACTTTATTTTTGTAATCCACCTTGTGTCCCTAAATAAAACACACACAAGAAGCATGTAGAGGCTGGGGTTATAGCTCAGAGCATTTGTCTAGCCTGTGTGATGTACTGGGTTTGATCCTTAGTACTGCATAAAAATAAATAAAATAGAGGTATTATGTCCATCTAAAAAGATTTTTTTTAAAAAAAGAAACATGTAGGCCTTCAATAATTATTATTTATTGTGATAGTTATTTATTACTACCTAGTTATTCAAGAAGGAAACAAATCAAAAATGGTAAAGAATAAATACTCTGGTGGTGAAATGTTGAATATCTTTGGTATTTGGCATATATAATACTCTATCATTGTGTCATTCATCAAACCTATTCTGATCTAGGTTTTATCTAGTAAGGGCATTTGAAGTTTAACTAGGCATTACTATTCAGTCAAATGATCTAGGAAACAGGTAGAATGTTACTTGAGGGGTAAAATGTAGATATAGCTGGAAGGTAATGCAAAAAACTGCAGGGTTTTATTTCAAGAATAAGCCATAAAGATGCTGAACTTTATAACTATGTTCAAAGCAAGACAAATGCTCTGTGGTCTGTGAAAGCTTATATGGTGAAGTAATATAATTAGAACTGGTGTAGTTTCTATACCTGTGAGGTGTGATGAGAAAAATGCAATTTTTATCCCAAGTAAACTTTACATTAATTTTATATAATAGCACCTGTGGGATTTACCAATGATTATCTAGGTAGAAAGCCAATTAAAGAATGCCATAACATGATTTTAATTGCCATTAACTGTTGCCTTTTCAAATTGAAAAACTAAAACATTAAATTTGAAATATCAAAAACATTTTTCTATCAGCATCTTAATTATAAGCAAGCATTTATTATGTGTCTCCTTTGTACAAAGATGAGTAATAGATTTCAAAACTTCAATAGTAATTTAGGTGGAAGACTCTAATAGCTCTTACTATTTTTCTTGTCTCATTTAGAAAAACTCTTTTTTACAGATAAGGGTACTGACATACAAAGTTATTTCTCTAAATCCTTTCAACTAGTAAGCAGGGTGAGCTGGAATCCAAATTAGAATTCAGAACCTGTGCACTTATTCATTGCATTATCAAAATAAGTCACAATTTTGGGGAAAGTTTTCAAGGATAGTAGTTAGCTACTATCTTAAAATATTTGTTAGTAGCCTGAGAATTTTACTTCATATGCAAGCAAGGAATCTCAGGTTCTCTTTCTGTACCAGCTAAACTGTTGTGTGAGGATTTCAAGATGTGAATAAAGCCTTAGAATTTGGCAGGATCTACATGAGGATTACTCAAGGATATTTATTACTTATTTCAGGAACAGCATCTGTTGCAGTTGCAGGTCTCCTTGCAGCTCTTCGAATAACCAAGAACAAACTATCCGATCAAACAATACTATTCCAAGGAGCTGGAGAGGTACCTGCCTTGCATAATAGTCATGTTCTCCTAAACTAATGAATGTATAATTAGTGTTAACTACCCATTAATTTAAGTTTCAAAATATTGTTTCATTGTTTTTAGCATATTACAACTATTGGCTTTATTGAAGGTTCTCAAATTAAGTATTGTGGCATGTTAATTTTTCATAGGAGACTTTAGTATAGAGCTATGAAGATACTTTCCAAAGTTTTAAGTTTGCAAGATTATCAAATGTTGTCATAGGTTATCATTGTGCATATTTAGGGTATCGTGGAGGAAAAATAAGCTTCCCATGTATAATTATGTATTTAAGTATTCAATTTGGAATATCTGATGCTGATTTTTAGTATCCTTCAGTATCACATTCAAAAGTTGTCTTAACTCAAAATGCAATGTGCACATATATAACTATATATGTTTTTAAGAAAAAAAATGTTGGAAGGAGATTGTAGCAAGACCAAATTATATTGTTTCCTATTATCATTGTGTATAATTTAATCATTTGAAATAAAATTAGACTCCAGTAATAATAATTCACCCACCAAACAGAAATTTAAAATGTTAGTTTCCTTGTGGGAAAACTGTCAAAAAAATCTCTAGAATTATAGTCTCTGTAGAATTAATAAATGGGGAAATACTTTGTGCATATGTTTGTATATGTATATATATATATATATATATACATTCATATATATACACATTTAAGAAACTAAATTTTTAAGTTTAATGTGATTATAAATAAACAGAACACTATATCACTCTGTGGAAATTTATGTACATTATATTGTTTTTCATTTTTCTTGTTCATTTTGCTTCAAACAAAATAAATGAACTAGAACTTAAATGCCAAGGCATAAGTATTCAGAATGTAAATCACAAATTCACTTTCAAATTGAAATAAAAATCAAGCCTAAATAATAGCTTTAACATTTGAATTCTTTGTTTTGTGGATTATGACATACTGTGTTTAATTTTGGTAAGCTTCTTTGAATTTGCAAAGGTTTTTGATGAATGGCACAGATCAGATCTTGATAATCAGCAGTCAAGATGTAGTCATGGTTGTGTGTTCAAAACCTGTTTGTTTCTGACAAGATATTGAGATTTCATAGATTTCAAAAAATTTACCAAATACCAAGGAAGTTGATTTCTTTAATCTCACAGGGAATTTGACAGTACTTACTTTGTCCAAATAGAGTAAATAAACACTGGGGAACACATATTTTTTTTTGTCTATTTCATTCCTTTACCTAATGGTCAGGTTCCCATTCCAATGACTAGTCTTCCTTCTTCAAATTTAATTAAAAGAGCTTGAGCCTGACAATAAACAGTACAGTCCAATGAGCAAGTTTCACCAGCTCATTAAATTCAGTGTTTTCCCATTGGAACAAATCTTGATTATATTAATAGGATTAAAAATACTGACAATCAAGGATATCACTGGTTTATGTGTGGCTAAATAGCAAACCATATAATAGTGGTGCTATTGTAGTCAAAGTTAATAATTGTTATTTGGTTCAACCCAATGTGACAAAAATACTTTGCTCAGAGCCATTTTATACTTCCTTATTAACAAGACAAAATCAGGTGAACTGTCAACCCTTGATAATATATCACATGAAACAACTTCTGAAATTTTTATTTTCATAACCTCTTTTTCAGGCTGCCTTAGGGATTGCACACTTGATTGTTATGGCCATGGAGAAAGAAGGTTTACCAAAAGAGAAAGCCATCAAAAAGATATGGTTGGTTGACTCAAAAGGATTGATAGTTAAGGTAAGAATTTATTATTTTTTGACCATAAATATCAATATGCCATCCTGGATAACCATCTCAACGACTACTTCCATTTCCATCACCCCACTTTACACTGTGTGATAAGTTTAGCCTTTTGACCTGAATGGTCATATTGATACTCTTTTGAATGAAGAAAACTTTGACTCAGGAACAATATATGTAGACTCATTACAACCGAATGGATTGTCAGTCCATTTGAATTACTTGAGTATCCAAATGAGGCAGTTTGATACTGATACAGATGAAACTCCTAATATAGCACCATTTGTTAAGAGCTGTTGGTCAGCTTGCACACTAGCTAGAAAGGAAGGAGGGAAAAAATGAAATAACTGCATTTCACCTGCTACTTTATCTCAGCCCCCTTTTCTGATGGCTTGGAAGGGAATTCCTGGGAGAAGAACTTTAAAAATAGTTAGGCTGTTTGAAAGTTAACTTACCTGTACCTCAGTTTCTCCAACTTTAGTACAGACAGTAGTATCTAGTTCATAGGGTTATTGTGAGAACTAGACTGGGTATGTGACCATGTGGCCATATGGAAATGAGGCATTGTTACTACATGTACATTTCAATCACTCTTCTAAAAAATATATATACATTCCCTTTTTAAATGAATGTAAATTTTAAGGATTAACAAGTGATAAGCAGTGTAATTTAATATAGATATAAATGGAAATGTGTTGAAACTTTCTAGAAAGCTGTTTAATGTGTATCTAGAACCTTTAAAGATTTATTCTTCTTGGCCATTTGTTTCCATTCTAAGAATGGATCCTGTAGAGATAGAAATGTATATGATACTTTACATATGATGATGTTATCACAGCATTATTTATAATAGTGATGTTTTGCCACAATAATTATGATTGTGATATGTTATACTTACCTAAATATAGTATAATTATGAAATAGCTACATGGGTGAAATATATATGTGTTTAAAATTGTTTCAAAGATAAATAAATGACCTATTAAAAGATTCATAATATACTGTTAGATGAAAAAAACAAAATATATGACATCTGATTTAAAAGTATAGTTATGTATAAGAGCTATAGAAGGGAATGTATCATACATTATTATAATTATTTTTGTATGTGTATAGTGCTGGGGATTGGACCCAGAATCTCGTGCATGCCAGACAAGTGCTCTATCATTGAGCTGTATCTCCAGCCCTAAAATTTAAATTGTTTTTAGTTCCTTTCTGTATAGTCTAAATTCTTAGTAGCTGTTCTCCTTTAAAGCTATAAAAATATGTTTTTAATAATTAATCTACATTAATAAATTTTGCCTTAAAGGAAGAAAAAATAATGTGCATAATTTTTATACCAAATAAGTATGCTTATATAGACTTTTGTTTTAGCTTTTGTTTTTGTTTTTTCCAGACTTTTGTTTTAACTTTTGTTTAAAAATTGCTATTCCTTTGAAGAATGAGCATAACAACAAAAATTTGTACACTGTGATTACTATATATGTTGTGGTCATGAAATGTAAACATCTACTGAATGAAATTTTCTACAGTTCAGGCATTGTTCCAGCCTCTGGGGATACAATAAGGCCCTTATCTCAGGAAACTCACAACCTAATGGGAAAAACGCAATCCACAAGTTACAGTACTATCTGAAAGCATTATTACATAAATGGTACCAGGGTGCACAGGGGATGATGCTCCTAATCACACTAAAGAGAAGTGTGGAGGTACTGAGGAAGATCTGGAAATAAGGTGTTATCTTTCATTTTTTAAATATCTATAAATTCTGACACAGTGTCTACTACATATCTGGTAATCAATAGTTTGTCAAATAAATTCATTGAAAAGTAAATGGATTTCCAAGTGTTAAAAACCATGATGTAAGAGACATTGAAGGACAGGTTGGAAAGGAAGCAAATGGCAGGTGACTTAAGACCTTTTTTATCCTGAAGATGAGCCATAAAAGAAATGTGTGCACAGGGTTTGCCTCCTCAGTCATTATGATTACATTGTGAAAGATAGTTTGAAAACAGGAAAAAACTGCAAAGAGGAAACTAGTTACAAAGCTGTTGCAATAATTCATATCAAAATTAATTGAGACTTTACCATGGATTTGAGCAAAAGAAGCTTGATTAAGTTGATGGTTAGGAAATAAGACTGGCATACTTAGTAATTGGATAAATACAGGAGGAGGAATAGAGTAGAGGAAGAAATCTAGCTGGACTATCTAGGTAAATGAAGCAACCATTAACGTTAAAAAAAAAAAAGGAATAAAGAACAGACCAGTTCAAGGGAAAAATAAAATAATGAGATGAGCTTTACACAAAGCAAGTTTAAGGTGCCTGTGGAGACTTAAAATGGAAATGTCTCTTTGGCAATTAGAGATCTAGTACTGAACTTCAGGGTGAGGATTGGATTAGAGATATGGATTGAGGATCATCAGTATGTAAATAGAGTCATGGAGGATGTGGAATATATAAATTGTGTTGTCCTTAGGGCCTATAAAAAATCCAAATGCAGAAGTCTGTGACTGCTTTTCTTTTGTGGATCCTAAAAACATTTTAATGTGAAATTTGCATAAAATATACATATTTTATCTCAAATAATTTTAACATAGATTTACTGGTCTAAGACTCCAGATTCCATGGGTTACAATAATTAGAATAATTGAAGTTGTTGGCTAGACCTAATCAGTCACTTTTACTTCATGTTTTTTACTAGCCAAAATAAAGAACATATAATTCTGCTTGCCAAGATAAAGTTAAATTTTAGAAGTTTGTTTTATATTTTAAAGTTTTATGTTCTACTTAATATAAAAAGACATAAGTTTTAGTTAATGTTTTCATGTTTTTTAAACTCAAAATTCTTGTATTGTTCTTTGTGGTGGAATTAATAAATCTTGGAATAACTTGAAAATCAGCATAATCTTGCTTTCATATTTGCATAATACTTTTGTTTTTGTTATCTTTCATCCTTAGCAGTTATACATCTCCTGAAAGCCAATAATAATAATTTTATTACCTTGTAGTTACATTTAAAAATCACAAAAATTTAAATGAAGTTTTTCTTGGTGAAGCTCCTTCACATTTTAGAGAGATAAAATCCCAAACTAAAATGTCCACTCATTCTTGGAGTTTTGTTATCATTATATTATATAATTATTACTCTTTTTTTAAAATACAGTTTTTTAAAATTTACTTTTATGTAGTGCTGAGGATCAAATCCAGGGCCTCGTAATTGTGAGGTGAGTGCTCTACCACTGAGCCACAACCCCAGCCCTAGTTATTCTAACATTCTAATATTCTGTTTTCTCTTTCAACATCACAGCTCTAGCATTTCCTTTCATTCACCTCATAACCATATGTGCAACAGAAGGTGTTTTTATGTTATAGAATATTAGTATCTTAAGTATTTAATTCATCAATATTAATTCAGTTGGTTGAAATCAATCTTTTGGCCACTGATAATACCCAAATATCTTATTTTGAATTTTATAGCAAGAAATAATTGATTTATCAATTTATCCAACTAATAGGAATACATTTTAATATAAACAAACTGGTACTTAGTTTAAAAAACAAAAATCTTCCCAAATGAAAGAGTGAGAATAAAAACAATAAAGTGAGGCTGAAAAGGAGCATTGCTAACAGGACTGGTGTTTGTATTTCACAATGATGACTTTGGAGCATTTTCAGGAAAGACAGGAAGTCACAAAACAAACCAATCTAGGCATGACCTATTTCTTAAATAAATATATTTTGGCATTTGCTAATAAACCTAGTTAATGTTATAACAGAACACTAAAAACAGAAAGTAGGATATTAACAGATACCCTGATGAGAAGCTTCATCTAACCCACAATAAGACTATAGAGCGGTTCAGAATTTGTTTTGATTTTGGTTTTATTTTGTAGTGTTTTAAATAATTTTACTTTATTGTATATTTTTATTAATAGTTGAATGTTTAACTCCTATAGAAAAGAATAGTGAATAAAGGTATATTATATGATATAAAGGTAGTTTTGACAATATAGTCAGTTATTTTCCTCCTGAGAGTATAACATACGTGTTTAGGGCTTGAAATTCTAGGCTGTACAGACAGTTTTTCTTTCCCCTATTGCTTTTTCAGGATTTGATGCATTGCATACCTTGTGGTTAAAAAAAACCAAAATCTAACTATTAGGAGATTTTGTAGCTTGGTGAAAAGTATCTGGCTTAATTATTCTCTCTCTCTTTTCCATTTTGTTTAGAATATGATCAGTATATRCATAGGTATTGAAAAGAACAGAGGCCGCAAATGATATGCATGAGTCTTTTAGCCAGAAGACTATGAATATTGATATTTAACAAACAGAATTAAATATTGATGGAATTCACTACCTTCTCTTCCTTGTTTTACTTTCATCACATCATTCATTTTTATCTGTCTTGAGATGATAAAACATCTCTAGTGGTGCATACCTGTAATCCCAGCAGCTTGGGAGGCTGACGCAGGAGGATCGAGAGTTCAAAGTAAGCCTCAGCAATTTAGTGAGGCCCTAAGCAACTTAGTGAGATCCTGTCTCTAAATAAAATATAAAAAAGATCTGGGAATGTGGCTTAATATTCAATCCTCTGTACTCCCCCCTCATAAAAATCACTCTTAAGCAAACTTTCATACCTACATTGCAACTGTTGCATATTAACTGAGAAGACCCTGACTATAGATCCAAAAAGAGGCCACATTCAGCTCTGATAAGCCAATGACATGACAATAAAAACAGACCAGTAAAACGGGGCAAGTAGGCAACAAAGTAGGCACTTGTGGAACTATTCTTCAGTGTCTGTGTGTAGGAAGAAGTACATGTTTATCAGTGGTGATCTTTAACCAATTTTTTTATTCCTATCCTGGGTCCTGGAATGATAACCCCAAATCTTGACTCTCTTTGCCACCAATCCTCCCTTCTGGCCCCACCACAACATAGGTGTTTTTGGTGTTCTGATGTGGATATGAGGTATGAAATGTCCTGTATTAATACAACAATGCTTGAAGGTGAAATGATTGGATTGTGAAAGCTATAACCTAATCAATCCATTCTAGTTTGAATGGACTGAGTGGTAACTATAGGCAGGTGGGACATGGCTGGAGGAGGTGGGTCACTGAGAGCTGCCCTAAAAGGGTTCATCTTATCTGCAGCCCCTTCCTCTTGCTTTCTCTGCTTCTTGGCCACCATGAGGTGAGCAGCATCCCTCTACCATGCCTTTCCCTTGTAATATTCTTTCTAACCTTGGCCCTAGAGCAGTGGAGTTGGCCCACCAAGGACTAAACCTCTGAAACTGTAAGCCAAAATAAACTTTTCCTCCTCTGAGTTGTTTTTTGTTAGGTATTTTGGTAACAGCAGTGAAAGGATGCAAACACAGAGATTCAATCTTGTTGTGTCTTCCACTTTCTACTAAGAAATAGCACAAAATAAGGAAGAAAGATTCAAGAAATGATGTCACAAAGACATTACTAGTCATTCCTACTATGTTTGGTTTAGAAACTAAACCAAATAGTTTCTATAATCATTCAACTGAACTTAAAAATGGTATAGAGAATACTTTGGAGATAAGTTTATTTTTTTCTTTTGATTCTTTTGGTTTTGTTAAGTGGAGCCCTTTAGTAATGTTAGTATGACCATTTAATGATTTCTGACCTTCTTTTGGAGGTGAGGCTGTGGGATATTTAGGTTTCATATTAGATGGAATGTCAGGTGCCAGTGATTACTATGATTAATAAAGCAAGGTGTTTTGATAATTTTTTAATATTTACTTTTTTAGTTTTTTTAGGTGGACACAATATCTTTATTTTATTTTTATGTGGTGCTGAGGATCGAACCCAGTGCCTCACACACGCCAGATGAGCGCACTACCACTTGAGCCACATCCCCAACCCCTCTTTTTATATAATATCTGTTTCTATGATTTGTTTCCCATCATAGGTAATTTAGAGGGCTTAAACTATATTCCATATTTTTAATTATATCTTAGTCATCAGTCAAAAGAAAATTCAAAAAATTTACTAAAAATCTGTAACTGCCAATGTATATTATTCTGTTTCTTCTTTAGAATGGACCATTATATACTTTTTTGAAAACATGTAACTTAAAAAATTGTATCTGTAGGGACATCATTAAGTACAGTGATTCTCAAAACTGCCTAATCAATTCTCATCACTTGGGAAGCTTTAATAAAGCAAACACATGGAATCCAGGATCTCACCATGGAATTTAATTAGAATTGAATTAGCCCTGGAAGCTGGGTTCAGGAATCTCTTTTCTAGGTGACTGGTGCCCATATAGCTCTGTAAAGCACAAATCTGTTTCGTTTGCACTGTTATCATCACCAATACAAACAATTTTATAGATAGAGAAACCAAGATCCAGGGAAGTACCTAAGGACTTGCCCACAATCATATGATGAGCGTAAGAGCCTCCTGAGTCTTGGTCCCATATTTTATCTCCATTTGTTGATAGCATTTCTTAATTGTGGAGTATTTCTTTATTTTACTGAATAGCATAAAAACTTACCCAAAATAGCATAAATATTTTGCTGTTAATTATTAGAATGTATTCTGCTACTTGTTATTTATTTCTCTAGCTAGCAATATTTATTTATCATAAACTATTTACTTATTGACTATAACCAACAGTGATGAAGACAACACTGTAAAATACATTTAAAAATTTGTTGTCTTAGATAATTTAAGTGCACTGAGGAAAATATTTTGAATCATTTCATTAAGAAATTAGAGATTAGGGCCTGGGGTGCTGGTTCAGTGGTAGAGCACTTGCCTAGCATGTGTGAGGCACTGGGTTCAATTCTCAGCACCACATATAAATAAATAAAATAAAGGTCCATTGACAACTAAAAAAATTGTATAAAAGAAAACCTAAGGAAAAAAAAGAGTGGAGATTATATTTGTCACTTTCAGATTTTTCAACGTCTTTTAGTTTAATTTCCATTATTGAATTTTAGGTTTATATTCATTATAAACAGACTCCACTCTTAAACTTACATGCTACTTTTAGCAGCAACCTATATTATGCCAGCTTGACTTTATCAATGCTAACAAAATCATCTTTAAGACTTGTATGCTGGTTTTATTTTCTCATGTGGATGTTTACTTCTTGGTTTGGTAATCTGAGGAAAACAAATAGATTTGCATTTTTATGGAGATCATTGACAAATTTGTATAAACCTATATACCAGAAGCAATTTGGATATGCTTTTGTTGTCATGTTGTTTGTCAGTAATTGAATGGTCCAGAACTATTATCTCAGACTTGCTTTCAGCAAGCCTTCACTGTGACCTACTAATTCTTCTGTTTTGTACTGGGATATGCTCTTTTCAGCATGGATTGTTTATTGTTTTGGTAAGTCCAGCATTTTTTAATTTAAAAAAAATGGCTGGAATATTTTCCTTTAAAGCTACATTTATTATTTCGTATTCCTATTACACAATAGGAATAATCCTGAACTCTTACAATTTTTTTTCTCCCAATCCTAGGTTTCTTCCTTTATGTTTTAATTTTGTGGTACTGGGGATGGAACACAGGGCCATACTCATGCTAGGCAAGTGCACTGTCATTGAGTTATATCCCCAGCCCCTATCTATTTATAATAAACCAAAAGGTGAAGATTGGTTATAATATTTTGCTATTTTCTTAAAAGAAAACATACTGGAATATGTTAATAGAACATTAAAAGCAAGATCTTTGACCATGTTCAATATTGGTTGTTTCATTGATGGACTATAGTTTTCAGTTTTGTGGTATTTAAAGGATGACAGATCATTAGAGAGTTCAATATGGAGTCACCTTGTTGATTTTAGGGAAGAAAGGTAGGCCCATGGGAGCAGACTAAGAGCACTAGGTTCCTCAGTCAGGAAAGGAGAGGAGGTTGTTATAAATATCTGTTCTCAAGTGTACAAAAGATTAAGGGCAATGATACATACTTGAACAAAAAGTTTATAGTAACTTAAAGTAAACTAGAATTTTGTTGAGAAAAAAAGAATTGCTTAAATAAAGAAAGTAAAATTTACATAACTGTAGTTTTTACTGTGGATTAAAATATGTTTAAACGTTAAACATAAATATGAGTAAATTTGAAAATATGAGTAAATATAAAATTTCTGTGATTCACATGTTTGGCAGATTCATTTCTTCTCATTTGCTTTACTTAGGGTCGTGCTTCCTTAACACAAGAGAAAGAAAAGTTTGCTCATGAACATGAAGAAATGAAGAACCTAGAAGCCATTGTTCAGAAAATAAAACCAACTGCCCTCATAGGTAAACTTTTTCTCCTCTTTACCTCTGATAGCCTCATTTTAACCTGATTGGTTTTCTTTCTACCAATTATTCATCCATGATTTAGCTATTTTGGGTATTCTAACCTTGAAATTCACAAACAAAATGATATTCACTTAAGCCTCAGTACCTCATAGATACCTAGATCTGTAAGTTCAGTTCTGTCTTCCTAGTATTGCTTACCCTAGCTGAAGTACATGGCCCCTTTGCAGACTCTGTCAGCCTGCTAATTCCTGGCATATTTGGCACTTTTTCAGGCTTAATTACTGCAGAGAGCCATTCCTTCTCAAATGGGAGGATTTTATTGCCCAGGGAACATTTGGCAACAGTTGGGAGATGTTTGTTTTTAGTTGTCAAAGTTGGGAAGGGGATTTCGAGGAGGAAAATGGGGCTACTGAGACATGGTGAATAGAGGTCAGGGATACCACTAAATAATCCTACAGAACACGGGACAGCCCCTGCAACCAGCAATTATCCTGCCCAAAATGTTGCTAGTGCTGAGGTTAGGAAACACTGAGCATCTCCTGGAAGTCAAGGATCACATCTTTATGTTCCTCATAGTACACAGTACTTAAGCAGTGTATGTACACAGTAGGATGCTCACTATGGTCAAATTTTATGTGTTTAAAAAATCTCCAAGTTGTGAATTTTATTTCCTTATTTTGTGTGTGCATGTTATTCTTTGTATCATACTCCATTCCTAGAAATTCTTGTGAAATAGTTGACAATATTGAAAACACTGTTGATAATTACAATTAAAGCTACTATTCCATGATAGGAAGTTTACTAAGCTTTTAATATTGATTCAAAATGTTCTTTCAATGGTAATAAAAAATATGAAAAAAAATGTTCATCTCTAGAAATTGGAGAAATGCAAATTTAAAATACACTAAGATTCCATCTCACTGGTCTTCTTGGATGAATTAACCACTGATTGGATTCTCATTTCTTCATTAGGAGTTGCTGCAATTGGTGGTGCATTCTCAGAACAAATTCTCAAGGATATGGCAGCCTTCAATGAACGGCCTATTATTTTTGCTTTGAGTAATCCAACCAGCAAAGCAGAATGTTCTGCAGAGCAGTGTTATAAAATAACCAAGGTAAAGTAAAAGTATACTGAAATCTTAAAAGTCAAACTGACAAATTATAGGGAAGCCTAGGATATCTAAGGTGCATACCATATAACCTTAAAAAATTATTGAAAATAATTTGAAAGAAAAGTGAACAGATCAGAGGAATGAGAACTCATCCTTTTCTAGAGTTTTGTTTGTATCACTCCTCTTCTTCAGCAAAATAAACTTTGTAATATTTTAGTGATAATTTTCTTCCAGTGATTTGAAAGTATCTAAGATTTAAACATAAAAGTTGAATAAAAAAATCTTGGTTTTAGATGGTTATTAAAACAGCTCTTAACTAGCTATTCCCAAATATTTAAGCATATAGTATAAAACTACAGTCTGATTTTTGTTTTGCAAAATTCGGGGTTTGGGTTTTGATGCTATGGGTGGAGTCTTTGGGTGACTATCTTGATATCCAGCCAGATTGGGATAGAAGTCCTCAATGCTTTAATATTTTACTGCTTCAGAAAAATGATAATATTTTATACTGTGTTTTCACTAATTTAAATTTGACTAATAACGTGGGCAAAAGTCTTTCGTTTTCTTCAAAGATATGAAAATATCATTACAACAAAATAGATATTGGGTCATATTTATTTAAAAYTTACTTGAGATATAAAATCCAAATTGAAGCAGAGAGGGAAAACACAACACAAAGGTATATCACTCTGAAAAAATAAGAACTTGATGTCTGACTTCTTTAATAATGTATCTTTAAATGTTTGTTACTTAATGATTTTTTTTTGGCAAGGAGCCACTCCATTACTTTCTTCTCTTATTTAGGTTGGCATCAGTATCCTCACTAATTTTATTTTATATTTCATCTATAGATTGGGGAATTGTTTCACTTTCCCTAATAGTCCTTAAATCCTTAAAGGAGTAGGGTAAAAAATCCAACAATTCTGTAGGTACTTGCAAATTTGGCATAGTGCTTTGCACATAGAAGACACATAATTAAGGAGTGTTTAATTAATTATTTTGTCTTAGTATATCTCAATAGGCCTCAAGAATTTAGAGACTCATCAGTGATACACATAGGTAAAATTAGCCAAATTTATATAGTTGTGTTTTAAAATTTAGATGTCAGAAATAAATGGCTTTTTCTCATGATGTTATCTAGTGCTCTACATTGTTAGAGATAAAACATTGAAAGCCATTTTGAGGTTGAAAATTAAGGTCTAAGCTAAATGTTATTTCCAGTACTATAATACTCTAGTATAACCTACCTGTGTACCCTCCCTCCCTTCCTCCTTCCTCCTTTTCCTCCATCCCTCTCTTTCTTTCTTTATTTATTTTGATACTAGAGATTGAACATAGGAATGTTCAACCACTGAATTACATCTCCAGCCCTTTTATTTATTTATTTTTTTTTAAAGAGTCTCGCTAAGTTGCTAAGGCTGTCCTTAAACTTGTGGTCAGTCCTCTTGTCTCTGTCTTCTGAGTAGCTGGGATTATAGTTGTGAACCACCACACCTGGCTCTGTCATTTTTATTTTTAAAGTCTGTAATTGGAAGCCTAATAGTCCTTAAATCCTTAAAGGTAGAAATGGTTGATGGACCTATGAGTTGGACCACTGCAGAGAACAGAGTGATAGTCTTAGGGTGACATTTTCTGGGAGACAAAAGTAATATAGAGAAACCTCCTGTTCAAAAAACATTATAGGAGCTTGCCCACATTTACTAGTGAGTTGATGAAAAGTTAGGCTTCTTTCTAAGTGTTCTCTGTTTTGGCTCTTGGATAGTTCTGTTTTGTTTTAAAATAACCTGCTTCTTTTTAACTAGTGGTATGTGTCTGTATTTCAGGGACATGCAATTTTTGCCAGTGGCAGTCCTTTTGATCCAGTCACTCTTCCAAATGGACAGACCCTATACCCTGGACAAGGCAACAATTCCTATGTGTTCCCTGGAGTTGCTCTTGGGGTTGTGGCATGTGGACTAAGACACATCACAGATAAGATCTTTCTCACTACTGCTGAGGTAAATTATTTAAGTTTGCCAAGGCTATAAAATATGCTCAGCCTCATTTGTTTAATATTTTATTTGTCTAGCATCTCAACTTGCTCTCTAGAAGTAGTAAAGTCTAAACAATTAGAGAAAGTCTTTCTCAAAGATGCATGAGATGGGTAGGTAACAGGTTCATATTGGGTCACTAGTAAAATATTCTTCAACAGCTGTTAGATAAATTATATTTTGATTTCGTGGAAGGAACCCCTTTTTTATCTACACATTTCTCATTAAATTTTATGAAAGTAAAGAGACAATTAAAATATTGTTTCCAAATGAAAATTAAGTGATAAATATTTCATTATTAATTTTCTGAATAAAGTATTTTGAAGGGTTTTTTTAAAAAGTCTGATATAGTATAGTGGTTAAATGCATAAAACAAATTATGCTAATATTTAAGCAGAAATGAAATTTAAATAGGGAAATAAATATTTATCAAACCACTAAAATAATAGGAGAAGTAGCTGTAGTCAGGGCCTTCAGGAAAGATTCTCAGAACATTATGGTGCAGGTCCACTAGGGAATCTCATTCTGACAAGAACCGTGAAAGATCTATGCTTTTACTTTGCTTGCAAGCTAACAAGTTAGTCATAGTTTCATAGATACTGTCAAGGCATGATGCTCTTAGATCAGAGACAAAGGAACTTTATTACTCATAAGAATAAGCCTTGAGCTTCATATTTCCATCAGTTTCCCTTGTGCCCGAAGTCTAAGCAGTAATTGGTTATATATTTCTAAAACCGTGACCTTATGATAACTGTGGATGATTAACAATGTTTCAGATTCAAACAGGATGCAATTTGTGAATAAGAAGCTTGTGAATTTCTTCTCTTAAAATTAAACTACTGTACAACTAGCTGAACTGAACCAAATAAAACTTGATTAATTTTCATATACATCTATCCTTAAAACACATTATTCTTTCCATTGTGAAGAGGTTTGAAAAATATAGAAAAAGATTTTAAAAGAACTAAAGGAGCATATTCCAGGGGTTAGTGCCTGGTTTGATTCTGTGAGAACAGTGTCTAGAAGTTATTATGATCTGTTCTTATCATTTTTTTTCACTGCATTAAAAGCATAATAGCTGATGTATCAAGTAGATGTCTAATTACTAAGAGGGCATTTTAAAGTTGTTTTTACATTAAGAAAAATGTAATCATTGTTTTCTAGAATATGCACATCAGAAGAAAAAATTGATCCTTCACTTTCTGTAGCTATGTTTTCTTTCCTAAATTACTCTAGCTCCATCTAGTGACAAATATCATGAATTTTTTTAAAATTTCTTATTTAGGAAGAGTAATGATCACTACCAAAAAATTTTGAAGAAAAAAAAAATGGCAATGTGAGCAGTCCTATTCTTATTGTAGCTAATGGTCCACTGACAGCATCATTTTTTTCCTAGGCTTCAACACATATTCCTTTTTCTCATACTACCTCAATCACATCCCATTTGTTTTCTTTGTCTTCTGTTGTTTGGTTCTAGGGATTCACCCCAGGGCCTTTCCCATGTTAGGCATGCAGGCTACCCGTGAGATATAGTCCCACCCTTCTCTGTCCCTTTTCATCCTCCTTTTAACTAAGACTTTTCCCATACCCTTAGCATTCATTTTCTTTTTTTTTTTTTTTTTGACTTTGCTATTGGTTTATTTAGCTTGGTGTGGTATTCTCAAATTTCATCCATTTGCCAACAAGAGGCATAATTTTATTCTTTTTAGTGTTGAGTAATATTACACACACACACACACACACACACACACACACACACACATATATATATATATATATATATATATATATATATATATATGATATTTTATTTATCCATTCATCTGTTGAAGAGTACCTAGGTTGGTTCCATAGTTTAGTTACTATGTGAGTTGACCTACTCTACATTGATGTGGCCACTAGCAATGTATGAATGTAGCTTTTCTCCCACATCCACATGAACAATATTATTGCTTGTATTCTTGATAATTGCCACTATAACTGCAGTGAAATAAAATATTGAAAAAAACTTTGATTTGCATTTCTCTAATTGCTAAATATGATGGTCTTTTTTATATGTTTGTTGATCAATTGTATTTCCTCTTCTGTGAAGTGTCTTGTTCAGTTCCCTAGTCCATTTATTGATGGGTTATGTCTCTCTCTTTTTTTTATTAGTTGCTCATGACAGTACAATGATTTTGACATATCATACATTTGATTCAAATGGGGTATGAATTCTCATTTTTCCACATGTACAGATTGCAGGATCACATTGGTTATACAGCCACGTTTATACATACAGCCATACTAGTGTCTGTGTTATTCTGCTGCCCTTCCTACCCCCCACTCGCCTCCCATCACCTCTCTCTACCCAATTTACTTTAATACATTTCTCTGTCTTTTTTTTTTAGCATTCATTTTCTTGTCTCACTCTTTTCCACCTGCTTTCAAAGATCTCATCATTTGTTTCCATTGTCTTTATTCTAATAATGCCAATTCTGTGTATCTCCATTCCCACCTTTTTACTGGAACTCCAGTTGCCCTGCTAGATAATTCCCCAGACATGCCCAGCTGTGCCCTTAAACATTTTGAAAACCATATTTAATGCTTTCCCTCCCCCTCAACATCCATGTTTCTAATAGTAACATCCCCTTTCTAGGTAACTACCAAAGTTTAGAAACCTGATGTTCTTTTCTTCTCTTCCATCCCATAGCCTTAAGGCACACTACCTAAACATACTTTGGTATGTTTTACCTTTCATCCTTCCTGCTGCTTTACCTTTCATCCCTCCTGCTGGAAAGCCCCAAGAATTATTCTCCATCCAGTCTCACATTCAGGATACTGCTTATGTCTAACTTCATTCTTGAGTCCTTTTTCTGACAAATCTATCTCATCTTGCTCTTTCTTGTCATGGTTGTCCTTATTAAACACACTAACATTGAATTTTATTCTTGGTTGTGTTATGCTCTTGAGAGCTTCATATTTCAAAAAAGATTAAGTGTTGCCTCTATAACTAAATTATAGATTATTTTCTTTAAAGACAGAAATTCTTCCATAAACTACTTTAAGAACTCTAGTAGAATCTAGCACAATGTGGAACACAAAGCAGAAACAATAAATACTGTTGGGTTGGATTAAATTGAACTAGTCATATAGCTTTGCAAAAATGAATACCACTTACTGCCATATGGCCAAAAAAGGAAGAAAGTCCTTTTTGTCTATAGTATATTTTATAATTTATAAAATAAACATAAAATATTTAGGTGTATTTTTTGGTTTGGCAATCCCAGATTTAATAACTGTTAAAATTATAGTCAAAAATACTAATTTTATATCACATGAAATTAGAAGTCTCTGGGTTGGCACCAATATTAAAGGTTATTTATGGACATTTTCATATTATAAAGAGATTTTTAGCTTTTCTAGCACTGGGGACAGTCTTCTGGACCATGATGAAAATACACAGTGCACCCTGAGTCAGCAGCACTGGCCCTATGCAGTCTGTGGCACAGCCTGGGAATAGATTTCTCTCTGTTCTAACCTAGGACACAAACCTTGGTCGCCTTTCCTTACCCAACCCTTGTTCGACCTCTTTCTGATATCTGTCCATAGGATGCCTGAGATGATCACTATGGACAATAGCATCTGGAGGAACCTTCAAATCCAACTGCTATAACATTGTCAGAATGAAATTGAGAAAGATTATTTTGAGAGATAGAGGCATCCACTGCAGCAAATAGTTTTTGAATGAATGAGTCAATAGGTGAGAACTCAAGTGTTCTTGTGTTCTCTCTTCTCCCTTCTACCCCTGTATGAATTCATTTGTGTTACTAGAAATGAAATATCTGATTTTCTAAAGCTAACTTTAAGGAAAGGGAGAGGATAGGGAAGAAGAGAGAAAGGTTTATTTGTCTTATAGTTTGGAGGCTGAAAGTCCATACAGCATGGTACAGGATCTGGTGAGAGTCCCATCATGGGTGATGGAACGTGTACCAGAGAAAGAGCTCACATTGCAAAATAGGAAACTAGAAAGAAACTGGGCTCTCATGCAGTCCTTTTGAATGACATGCTCACAAGTTGTGTGACCAGCAGGCCCTCTCTCATAAGGTTACATAGCATTATCTCCACACAAAGGACCAAGTTTCCAATATGTGACTTCAGAGGACACATTTAAACCTATCCAAATCACAGTATTCCCAGAATTCTTATATTTTACTGAGATTCCCCCTTGTTCCCTATTTGCTACTTATTTCTCTTCCACAGTTTCTTGGCTCCCTCTCTGTGTGACAGGCATTCATGGAGAACAAGAATTCATTTATGATTCTTCTTCACTCAATCATCTTCTGACTGTCCCCTGTCTTTTTGACATTTGAGAAGTATTCTAGAGGATAAAAAGAAATGACGTCAAGCACTAGCAATATGGCAGTGGTGACAGATTCAAGGTATATACATTTTAGTCAGCTTTTTCGTTTCTGTGACCAAAAGACCCAACCAGCACAATTTTAAAGGAGGAAATTTTTATTTGAGGCCTCAGGATTTCAAAGGTCTCAATCCAAAGAGAGCAGGCTCCATTCCTCGGGTCTCAAGGTGAGGCAGGACAGCATGGTGGAAGAGTGTGGCAGAGGGAAACAGTTTCCTGATGATCAGGAAGGAGAGAGAGAGAATTCACTTTCTAGATACAAATATAAACTCCACAGCCCCCACAACCTAATGAACCACTTTCTCCAATCACACCCCACCTGCCTCCAGTTACCACTCAGTTAATACCACCAGGGATTAATTAATTATGTTGATTAGGTTAAGGATATAGCGCAATCTTTTCTCTTCCAAACTTTCTTGCATTGTCTCAGGTAAGGTCCTTGCTTAGCTTCAGGACAGCCATCTTAAGTGACAGCCCCATTTAAAAAAATAAATTTACTTTCCTGCCCAAGGCTCACCACTCCCTCAGACCAACTCCACCCTTAACCATCTGCATTATGACTCCCTGCTGGCTCTAATCCCTGAGCCTACTCTAATCCCTGAGCCTGCCCCATAAAAGTCCTGAACCCCAAGCCTCTCTCTATGGAGAGATGAGTCTTTATTTGTCAGCTATCTTGTGTATCTCTGCCTGGTCTCCATCTTTCATTTCTCCTTCGCCTGTCTTCTGGTGCCTCGCTTTCCTTTCATCTCACACGTAAGCTCTTGGCAGACACCACATCTAAACCATAAAAATATGTCACATAGATTTGGGGCCTTGAAGCAAGAAATGACAGCCTCTAGAAGATAGAGAAGGCAAGGAATGGATTTGTCTAAAGCTTCATAGCCCAATAGGACTTATTTAGACATCCAGAGAATCAATTTGTATTATTTGAAGTTACAATGTTTAAGATAATTTATTATAACAAATACAGATGGTTCTGGCCTTTAAAAAAAGTCACATAAATAGCTGAAAAAATTTGAAGTTAATTGGTTATAGAAATTGCTCCCAAGTCATACACTAATGAGCTAATGTAGTGTAGAGCTAGATCTGACCCCAAAGCTATTTTACTTCTCTTTTACCATTCTGACTACCTATTTTTTTGTTTGTTTGTTTAACTAAAGAGTCAAGATTCATTGAACACTGAACTTTGACAGACATTGTGGTAAATTCTTTACTGGAATTTACTTCATTTGATCCCATGAATTAGGAACTCTTTTTAGATAATCAGTGGAGTCAGCGTTCAAATATAGGTCTGCCTTACACGAGGACCTGGGTCTTCAGCCACCATATCATTACATCTTTTGCTACTCATTTTGCCCTATTCAATTAAATAATAAGATAGATACCCATAAACCTTTTGCTTTAACATCTAAGAAATGCCAACTGGTTTATTTTTATTTTTTTACATTTCTTTTTTTTTAATGGGTTCTTTGTAGTTATACATGACAGAATTCACTTTGATGTAATTGTACAAGCATAGAATAGGTCTTATTCTAGTTAGGACTCCACTCTTATGGATGTATATGATGGTGCCACCTGATTTAAGTCTTTTATAAATCCTTTGCAAAACTAGGGATAATAAGGTTTTATAAAATAGTCTTGATTCAATGGGGGATGGTTTTATTTTGCTCCAGTCATTGTTTTACATAATTCTCCATCAAATCTCCCTTTTCTTTCCCTTAGTGACATTTCAGTAAAATCCACTTACTATTTATTAGATATTAGTCTGATTCAGTGAGAAATAGTTAAGCATTTCTAGTTCATAATTTTTCATCGAATTGAAATATCATCTCCTCTCCCTGTAGTACAAAAGTCGTGCAGTAGCCTTTTTCACTTGTTTTCAAAACCTTGTGGAAAATATTGATCCATTTGTGTTGCTGCAACAAAATACCTGAGCTGGATACTTTATAAAGAAAAGAGGTTTGTTTAGCTCGGTTTAGAGGCTGAAAATCCAATGGCTTCCTTGGCAGAGAAATGGAAAGGGAACTATCTGGGTGCAGAAAGGGCCCCCGCTCATGGGGTTGCCTGGCTTTATAACAACCTACTCTCACAAGTATTAACTCTGAGGGACTAGCATTCATCCCTTCCAAGGACAGTGCCTCCAGTTTCCTAATTCACAGTAGGCTCCACCTCTTAAACGTTCCTCCACCTTGACACCAACACATGGAGAACCAAGCCTCCGGCACATAAATCTTGGGGGCATAAATCACATCAAACCATAGCTAGGGGTTTGAGAGAAAGTGGCTAGACTCTAAAAAACCACCTTCCCTTCTTGTCAAGGTCTATATCTTCCAATGTGTTGGAGATAGGAAGGAAGGTTATGGGAAAAGTTACGAGAAAGGCTTTTTTACTAACTTTTCTGGATTTTGGCCATCAGGTCCTCTGTGGCAGGGCTCAAATTTGGCTCTCATGGAACACATATTTGAGAGTTTAGAAGATCCTTCTTCAGCTCTGCTGGACCCTCACCATCTTTTCCTGGGAAGTGACAGCTGTTGCTGTGGGGTTGGCAGGGCTGATTCTACCTCCTCTTAGGCTGTAGGGGAAATGGCAGGCCCCACATGTTTGGTGATTTCCTGAGAGTGTGGAACTCTTAATTTCTCTCTGTCCTAAAGTTTGGGACTCTGGTCACCAAGTTATTCAATGCCATGTTAAAAGGCAAGAAATTATGAATTAAATGATGAGTTTATTATAAAATTATGATCAATACTGTAATTTTAGATTATAATGTTTTTGTGTAATATTTATGGTTTCTCTACCCACCCTGCTCTGTCTAAATGCCTTTGGTCAGAAGTCCCCAGTAACCCACAGGATTTAACCCAAATTCCTTATTTGATTTTGAAAACACTCCAATCCGTATTTCTCTATACAGAACCTCTGCTGCCCCAGCTTAGGGCACTTGTGTTCCTTGATCTAGCTCATACATCCCTGCCTTTGATTTGACATTGTCTTCGTCTGGAATGTCCCTGACCTGCTTTTCTAACTTGCAGTTTTCACTGGATTCTAGCCTCCAGCCTGCCTCCACTATGAAGCTCTCTTTCTTAACACTCATATTTCACCTCTAGGCTCATTTCAGTATTCTCTCTTTTAGTACCCTGTTATCTCATTAAATTACAAATCTCTCAAGGATAATAACTTTTTTATGGTACTGGGGGATTAAAACTAGGGATGCTCTACCAGTGATCTTTTTATTTCTATTTATTTGTTTTGGTACTAGAGATTGAAACCAAGGATATTTTACCTGTGAATTATAAGTTCAGCCCATTTAAAAAATTTTTTTTTTAATTTTGGGACAGGGTCTTATTAAATTGACAAGGCTGGCCTCAAACTTGTAATCCTCATGCCTCAGCATCCCAAGTAGCTGGGATTATAGGCACATGCCATTGCACCCAGCATAACTGTTTTTTAAATTTATTTGTAGTATTATAGTTGCTCAACATCTTACTTATTTGCAGGTGGCAACAAAACAATACTTTAGAAATAATTTCATGATTTAAAAATAAAGAGTATTAAGAAATGACACCAAAAATAAATGTTTAACTATTCAAAATATTGCAGATGAGAAAATATTTTTACTTCCTCTCTACATCAACATTTCTGTTAAACAGAGGTTCAGGTCTAAGCTGATTTATATTCAGCCTGAAGAGACTTAATCAAAATCGTAGAGCTAGAGTGAATTTTGTTTTTGCTGAACCTACCTTACTGTCTTAACATAGGGTTCATTAAATAGTTCAACATTGTTTGATTTAGACCTAGGGAATGGTTTGGGAATCGCAGATGCTAAGGCCAGTTAGTGATTGGGTAATCAGAATCTGGGTAAAATTAAAATCCTATTGATAATGTGACTCTGAAATAGCTTTCTCAGCCTCTTGCCTTACCTCCTGCAGGGGGCTGTGTAAGCAGGGAGTAACAGTATGAGCCACCATGAAATACTGTTCTCCTGTACTTCCAGGGTCCTACTCCATTACTACTCACATTTCTTAACTTTTCCTTCCTCCTGTTCCCCTAGTGTTTCAATTGGAAAGTGTCAAGTATTTCATGGTACAGTGAAAAGGAATTAAACTGAGAGAAAACCAGAATTCTCTTCTCATCTTTATGATTCCCAATAATTAGTACATCTCTCTTGGGTTCAGTTCTTCCACTGATAAAATGGTAGATGAAGTGAGATGATCATAATGTGATGGTTTCTACAAATGGCCAGTCTGTGTGGCCATGCACTTAGGTTATCTGTATAACTACCACATTGTATGGTATGAAGTATAAACATTGTTCTCCTTTTTCCTTTTCTTCTTATAGGTTATATCTCAGCAAGTGTCAGATAAACACTTGGAAGAGGGTCGGCTTTATCCTCCTTTGAATACTATCAGAGACGTTTCACTAAAAATTGCCGTAAAGGTAAAACCATTCTTGTTCAATTCTCAGTATGTTTACTTCCTTCTCTTATTAAATACATATTTTTAAATATTAAAAATATACTAAAATGCTTCCTTGAAATGTTTTTCTGTATCAGTTTATATCTCTTAAGTTAGGGAAATGAGGCATAGTGACTAGATAGAATTTAATAGCTACCTTTTAGATTTACAAAGAAGTGGTAGAATTAGGATGGATCATTTTCTCTTTTGTTTATTACCCTTCCATAATTTAAATAACTCATTAGGTTTTTCCTTTTAGTTTGGTGCCTCACATTTCACTGTATTTTAGTTATCCTCTTCTGTATCACACTTACAATAATTAACAAATTATCACAGACATGATAGAGTGTCATTTAATCCTGGAACCACCTGCTACATCCATGTCTCTATGGCATCTTAAAAAATGAAGATTCTAATATTAACATTGATCTCTGCCTGCTATTAAGCAAAAGTCATTCCTATAATTAGAAAATCATCTGATTAATGACCTGCAATTTTCATGGGGCATGGTGGTGCACACCTTTAGTCCCAGCAGCTCTGGAGGCTGAGTCAGGAGGATTAAGAATTCAAAGTCAGCCTCAGCAAAAGCAAGGTGCTGAGCAATTCAGTTAGACTCTGTCTCTAAATAAAATACAAAATAGGCCTGGGGATGTGGCTTAGTGGTTGAGTGTCCCTGAGTTCAATCCCCACTACTCCCCTGACACACACACACACACACACACACACACAAAAAAAAAAAATCTGCACTTTTCAAAAAAAAGATGAAGACCATAACTAATAATAGTGGCAAGAGGGAAAAGCTATAAGGGCAAAGAACTCAAAGGCTGTTGGGTTAGGCAGATGAGCTGTTGGAGGATTGAAGGAAAAATCTAAAGATAGGGTTATTTTTCTATAATAAAATTGATAAATTGACCTTTTTTGCAATGTAGTTGTATTAGTTTAGCAGCATTTGTGTCATCTGCCCACTAGATGTCAGTTCCATCTGTAGAGTTGACAATTAAAAATGTTGCCAGGCAATTCTAAGCRTTCCTTGGGAACCAAATTGCTCCTAGATTAAGAATCACTAGTTTTAAAGCTATTAGCAAATTTATCTAAATGATACCATTTAATATTCATTGGTTCATATGTTATTTTTTATCTTGTTGATTAAAGGTAGTCTTCAAAATAAAAATCCTTCAAAGAACATTAGATAATAATCTCTTTGGTTATTTATGAAAGAATATGCTCATATGTTTCTAATATTGTGTACCTTCTAGTTTTTAACTTGTTTGAACTACTAATATATGAATAGCATGTTTTCATTTTGACAATTTAAATGAAAAGGAGCTAATGTATGATTAGAGGAGAAAGTATTAAAAAAAACAAGGGACAAAAAGATGCAAGTTGTATACTAAGATAATGAAGAACAGTGCATAGATAGAAACTGGAAAATCAGAATAAAGAACCAAACATGAAGGAGGATGATGTGAGTGGACTGTACATTTGAGGTATCAGTGGCACATTCAAACATACAGTGCTAACAAGTAAATGAAAGTAACTGAGACTTAAAAGAGAAGCTAGATAGAAAGATCTGGAGTCTTCTGTATAAAAAGTAGTAATACCATAATGTAGGTACTTTGAAATTAGAGAAAAGTCAAATAAACAATATTCTATTTTTCTACCATAAGCATTATTTTATTATTTGCATGTATTTCTAGTCTTTTTGTTTGCTTTCTTTTTTACCATCTTTATAATTATGGTGCATACGTGCTTTTGTTTCCTGCTTTTTCATAGAAATTTCTTCACAGTTCAGTAGTTTTTATAACCATATTTTTTCATAAGTGCAAAATTTTACATTGAGAAGAGATACTTAATTTTAATATTCTTCAGAATCAGACTTATCCAAATAAGTCTATCATACAAACAACTCCTCTGTGACTGTGTTTTAGAACTGGTATGAGTTACATTGTATAAATGGAATGATTAATTAGGACAAGAAAAATCCATTTTTTTTTCTTAAAGTAGAAGAAAAGAGAATGTATAAAGGTATAGAGGAGATAGTTTGTGTTGGTGAAACGGAGCTTGGGATTGTTTTCTCTGAATGTTGGAGTTCTCTCTAGAGTGATGAGAATCAATTGGAAACTTGGAAGATGGGGGAGGTTTGGAATTATCTTTTAGAAACTGTGAGGAGGTTATTTAAAAATGATTGAAAGTACTATATGCAGCCAGATGTGCCTAAGTAAGGTTAGGAAATGTATCACACCACAGAAAACTCAGGTGTAGTTCTCTGATGGACAGCCACAAATGAAGGCCAGAATTGAGGGGTCCATGGAAGAAGGTCTAGACTGGTACTTGTAAAACATGTCATGGAGATGAGAGTCTATGACCCTGATTATGGGTTGCAGATGATTAGGTTAACAGGATCAGAAGACCCTGGGATAAATACAGAGATTTTGTAGGAGGCTATGGTCAGAGTAGAGATTCTTGAAAATTCAATGTATTCAAGTTGAAGCTTAGCAGTAATATTCAGATATTTAGTTAAAGTTAATTATCAACTAGGTCATGTCAAGACTTTTAACACTGGCTTCTCTAAGAAATCTTGAGATAATAAAAAATAAATCTTCACTGTTCATACTCTTACGAAAAGTTGCTGGTATTATTTCCCCCTCTTGCTACATTATTTATAATTGTTTTCATTTATATCTTCTTTGTTTATGTGAACTTTTACTCTAACAATCTTCTTGTAAACAGAACAATATAAATTATAAGATAATTTTTGAAATGGGTAAAAACTTCTGTTATATATATTCACCATCACCTTTTATTAATTAAAGCAATTAAAATTGTTTTATTAATTAAAACAATTAAAATTCTGTTCTTATTTTAGATTGTGAACGATGCATATGAAGAAAAGACAGCCACAGTTTATCCTGAACCACAAAACAAAGAAGCATTTGTCTGTTCTCAGATGTACAGTACTGATTATGACCAGATTTTACCTGATTGTTATACTTGGCCTGAAGAGGTCCAGAAAATACAGACCAAAACTAACTAGTAGCATAATTTAGCCAACATTAACTTCATTATTGAGATCTTTAAGTCTTTTATAATTTTTAAATGTTAGTATCTTTTTTGATGATTCATAACATGATTAGATTAAGATAATTTTACTTTAACCATTAAAATTTATAGAATATTAATATAAGTTAGGACAAACTTCACACTACACAATTTTCCTTCATTTACCTTCTGGTTATTTATAGTTTCAATCTTAATTATTTTGTCCAAATTCTCTTTAAAAGCCATTGTACTGACTACTGAGAAACTCATTTTTATATAAAAAAATGGGAAGACCAAAATTAGTAATATTGATATGATCAGCATTAAACCTCATAATTCTTTTGTTGACAATTATGTTAATTCCTTCTTTTAAAAAATAAAGATAGAAGTGAATTTAGGCATAACTGAACTTTTGCTAAACATAAATAACACTACTTTGTTACCTGGAGAAAAGCAACTTGTCAGGTGTACTTATTCCAGTCCTTCATTGTATTTGTTCTTTTTGTGTAACGGAATCTGACATTTCTAAGAAAGATCATTGCTGTTTACAAAACCTGTGCAGCCTTAGATTTTAATATTCTTTTTTCCATTGTTATGTCTTATAGAGCAAAGTGCTTATTACCTTGGTTCACAGTCAGAAACCTTCTCAAGAGTATTTTTATTTCTCCACCGAACAAATGCCCTATCCTTCAACTACCACACTGTGGCTAAGGGCCTTATGGACTGCCTGTCCAGAGGTTTGTACCTTCAGTTCAGCATACCTGATGAGTGAAAACAGCTAAAAACAGAGTCAAGATCCTTGATAGGGACTTCTTAAGCCCGGTTCTTAAGACAATGATCTGATGAATCAGGAGCAAGGCGCTGATTCCCTAACAAGCTGGGTGTCTACTTGAGTGATCTGCTTGAATGTTCCATTGATTAACTCAGGTAACTAAGAGCTCAGTGTATAAGTTCAAAATTTCTCTGGAGTTTGGAGAAATTTTTATAATTATGTCCACAGTGTCTGAAATAATATTTCTGTATTTCTATCAGTTACTAAAATATTTTAATTATAAAACCCAGACTATGATAAAGAATAGTTATATCCCCAGATTGTATTAATTTACTTTAGATATTAATGATTGAACTAATGGAAACATTTTTGAATTCTTAAGCTCAGGTGCAATAACATTTGCTATTTATTTATAGAATCATCTAGAGAATTTTCTGTTTTTGAAGTAATGATTTATAGAGTATAAGATGTTAAAGATAGACTGCACTATGAAATGCTATTATTGAAAGCTGAAGGTTATACAGATTGTTTCAGGTGTGAGTGGAATGGACCAGGGACTTTCTTGTGGTAACATTTAGTTAAGGGTTTCTGTAACACAGTTATTTGGAAAAGATTCATAATACTTAAGAAATAAGTATTGTTTGTTTCCTTGTTGTTATATAGCTCTAACTAAATGTATTTACCTATGCAAAGATTTCTTAAACCAAGAAAAAGTGAATGAATAAAATTATAAAATGATATTTTCCTAAAAATATGGTTATACTTTAAATAACAATGATGGGTCTTGGGAGTTGTATGACAAAATATTATGAATTTTTTTAAATATTCTGATAACTGTTCTAGTATGAACTTCATTCACTTAATGCATATGTAGTCATAATTCTGGCTACTCTGATAAGTGGTCTCTTGTTCTTAGGGAAAGATAAGAAAGCAAGCATCAGGTTGTAACTAGCTGTCAAGTGTTACACATAAATTGTCTTATTTAATGTAATCCCACAGTTCCTTATGAAGATGATATTTTAAGTAACTTGCCAAGGCCATGTAACTAATAGGCAAAGAAGGTATGCTCTAGGGCTGGGGATGTGGCTCAAGCGGTAGCGCGCTCGCTTGCTGTTTTTAAGAGTTATACTTTAAATATAATGACACAGAAAGGTTCAAAGTAAAAGGATGGAAATAGATAAGCCATAGAAACAGAGAGCCTAGGAAAGCTGGTCACAGCTCTATTAATATCAAATAGACTTCAAGGCAATGAGATAGTGATAGAAAAATTGATAGAAATAGTGAGATGGAGAAATCCATAATCACAATAACATCTGGAAAAGTAGTGACCTCAGCTTGCACAAGGGGAATTACTCCAACAGATATTTCTTAAAGACATGAGAACATGTGGAATAGAACAAGAAACTGGTAGCACAAAAATCCATAAAGAACAACATTTAGCTAAAAGATTGTGTGACAGAGGAAGAGTCCTGTGGAGCCAAGGTAGCTGTTGAGATCCTCCATTGCTGTTTTTTTGCAGTCATGCAGAAAAAATTTTAGTCGTGTCACTCTGAGTTGCAGGCATGAGTTTATTCGAAGGGACAGGAAAAGGGAAAAAAGGGACACTCTGAAAGGAGAGAATGAGTCAGAGGGAGAGAGGGATGGTGTGCCCCTCCTGCCCTCCAGTTTAATTGGGGTCCCAGGGAATTTTCTAGAAAGAGTCCTGCCCAGTTCCACCTCTTAACTTTTTATTGACCCCAGAATGATATCAGACTTCCCACTGCTAAATATAAATATCCAAGGCAAATCTGTTCCTTTTGGCCCACATCAACTGGTTCTAACAGATATTATGGTAGGGGGGCTTTGCTCCTTATTATAATTATCCGTCTGAGTTTTGGAATCTGGTCTGTGTGATGCCACAAAAGTCACCCCCTTCAAGGTAACTTATGTTTTCCTTATCTGCAGAAAGGAGCCTTTTGGGCCTGTGTTTCTCCTCTTTATAACAGGTTGGTTGACAAAGAATGTAATGTATTCTGTTGACTTATGCCAGGAAGGGCTGCAGGTAAATTGCTTTTTAAAAGAAACGTGTGGGGTTTGGGTGAATTCCCTCCACTCAGGTCTGTCTGATTCCTATCAATTGGAGAAACTAACCTAAAACATGGGGAAAATTAAAACTGGAACCCTATCTTACACTCTGAAAAGATGGGCCCACACGTGGATTAAAGACCTAAATATGAATGGTAAAAATATAAAGTAAATGCAAATTGATGCATTTATTTGGAACCCCCAAAACAAAACCATGAGGTTAAAAAAAGAAATGGTTGGGATACATTATCCATAGAGGAGAAGAATTGGTAGATCTAATGGCTATTGCCATGAAACAGTAAGGCTGAGGTATTCCAGGACTGGGATGGAGTGGTTGTTTCTAGTAGAGGTGGATAGTAAAGAAAGAGAGAACTTAGGTTCAAAATCTCAAGTTCTCAACTCAAGGTACAGTCTAAGAACTGGGAAAACAACCCTATGTTTTTGCTGAATCTCTCTTACTAGTTGCAAGGCAGAAAACAGTTGAAAACCAGAGTTCTACTTTTTTTTTTAAAAAAAGTATTTTTGATATATGTATCTATAACTAAATATATATATATATATCAACTCTACATGTCTACAACTAAATATATGTGTCAACTCCATAACTAGAGTTGACACATATATTTAGTTGTACATGGATACATACCTTTATTTATTTCTATGTGGTGCTGAGGGGTTGAATCTAGTGCCTCACACATGCTAGGCAAGTGCTCTACCACTGAGCCCCAGCCCCAGCCCCCTACTTGGTTTTGACCAGGAGTATTGGCAAAGAAACAGTAAGACCTAGATTTGGAACCAGATTGTTATAGTTTGTATATGAGGTGCCCCCTGCACTCCCTCCAAAGCTCCTGCATTAATGCAGGAATGTTTGGAGGTTATATGATTGGGTTGTGAGAGCTGCAACCTTCTTAGTCCATCCTAGTTTTAAACTGAACTAACTAGATGGTAACTGTAGGCAGGTAGGGTGTGGCTGGAGGTGGTGGGTCATTGGGGGCATGCCCTGGAATATTCATTTTCTGCAACTCCTTTCCCTCCCTCTCTTTGGTTCCAGGCTGTCATGTCCTGGGCAACTTTCCTCCACTAGGCCCTTCCACTATGATGTGCTGCTTCACCTTAGGCCAGAGCAATTGAATTGGTCCACCATGGACTAACTTTCTGAAACACAGAGCCAAAATAAACTTTCCCTCCTTTAAGTTGTTCTTGTTAGGTATTTTGGTCATGGAGCTGCAAAACTGATGAACACATGGATGCACAGGATTTTGGAGGGCGCAGGATAACTTCTAATGGTGGGTGAACAGTAGTAAACAGTAGTCCAGTTTGAGTTCTGAAAGTCTTGTGTCCCAGGAAACCCTCAGAGCCAGACAAACTCAAGAGAGCTGGCAAGTCCTCCTTTGCCAACCAAAGCAGGGGTCTCTAAAGAGGTTGATACTGCCTTGCTTGAAGATCCTGTAATGACTTCACCTAAGGTAATGATCTCCTTGAAAAGGGAAATGAATTTACCCATTTTTCTTCCACATCTCATTGTCTATACACCTAAAATCAGATTCCAACACAGAGAGGGACTGTGGCAAATCAAATTAAGAAGACAACCTACGAGGAGAATCAGACCAAAAAAATTCTGGACTTTGCTCATTGTTTTGGAAATCCAATCATTTCACCTCCAAAAACTGAGTGAAAAAAAAAATGCTTGAGATTCCGAGAATGTTAAACTGAGGAAGGAGACACATAATTTTGGGTTGGGTAGAACTGATTTGATAAGGGTGCACTTGCCACAGATTCTGGATTTGGTGCTGCCTTCAGCAACTAGAAGTTATTCCACTTGTTGCGTCGGTTACTTGAATGAAACATGGACTTAGTAATGGCCTACATTAAATGAAATTGATAGTGCAAATATTCCGTGAAATCATATAAAGGGATTAAAAGATTTACAAAGAAAGCAAAGTTGGAGTAAATTTTTGGTGTGTAATCTTACCATTTTAATCTTAATGATCTCAAAATTAAGTCTCCTGAGAGGACCAGTGACTCTCCTTTCATTAAAACCTTCAGAAATAACATTGGTGAGGGGAATACCAGCACCAATGAAAATTATTATTATTTTAAGAGAGAGAGATAATTTTTTTAATATTTATTTATTTTTAGTCTTCGGTGGACACAACATCTTTATTTGTATGTGGTGCTGAGGATCGAACCCAGTGCCACGCATGCCAGGCGAGCGTGCTACTGCTTGAGCCACATCCCCAGCCCAATGAAAATAATTTTAGTGATTCTTCTCTGTATGCTGAGAAAGTCTGTGGGCAATGCAACAGTTAAAATGGGTTTCCTGTTAAATGGAAACATCAGAACGTTGGTGTTGGTAGAGACTCTAGGCAGAAATTAAGAAAAAGAATCAGAAAGAGTAATCATAATACAAGCAAGTTCAATGTAATCAGAATAGTTTGGCCCACAGAAATTGTTATTGGTTGGTAGTTAATGTAGAGTTCCCTGGCCTGAAATGATGTTCAAAAATTAACCAGGCACAATAGGTACTGAACAAGAAAAATGGATGCTAATGGAAAAAAACTTGCGCAGCCACACCCATATATACCAGTTGAATATCAGTCTGGTTTAGGACCAAATAACGTGCTCAACCCATGTAGGTCCTAAATAATATGTATAACAAGAGCAAGAAAAAGCCTGCCTACATCCACCAAGAGAAGACTATCACCAAATCACCACATGTGAATATGAGTGAAAGACCTCTAAGATGAAGATCTTTATAATAATATCATAAATATATGTTTTTAATAACTCCTGTTAGGATAACAATACACTGCAGAAAGGAAATGACTGGGCTTTTTGGAGGTCATCTGGAACAGCTCTGAATACATGTTTCTGGGGTCTCCAAAACCATTGTGATCTATGAAACAAAGTGGGTACTCTAGAAATTAACCTATCTTCCAGTTATTTTCCCACGGAAGAGTTAGCATTGATCTTTAAAAAAAAATAATTGTTAAATGACAGATAATTGTATGCAGGTATCAGGTAAAAATTGATATTTTTTCTTCTATGACAATATCCTCATATTGGATCCCTGATCCATAAATAAAGGGTTCTTCTGGTAGGAAGTACCAAGAGATTTGCAGAGATAAATTCTAGCCTCAAAAGCTTTAAAAAGAAACAGAGATGAGATTCTTACCATATTTCCTATTTAACATCATCTTTGGCATATGCAGGCGGTGGATGGGTCTCTCAGAATAATATAGCACATGCTCATAAACTTAATCAGTGATTAACTGCAGCTTCTGTYAGACAAGTTTCTTGGGGCAAATCTGTAAATAACTATTACTATAGGCAGTACTTTTTTTTGTTTTCATGTATTCAAGTAAAGAACACCTGAAGAACTTTGCCCTATTTAAGTAAGCAATGCAGATAATCTATTTTCAACATATCAACTCTCTAACTATTGAGATTGTTGGTAGCAGTACAGGGGAACTGCTGTCCAAAACATTGATGATGATTTGCTGACAGGAGCAGGGGAGACATTAGGTTCCCTGGATGCCTGGTAAGGATACATCATGCCAGAAGGGTGGAAGATAAATCTCATGAAAGCACAGGAGCCTGTCACCTCAGCCAAGTTTCACAGAGGCCCAGTGTCTGGTGCATGTTTGGATGTCTCTTCCAGATAGAAGAATAAA